TTAAGATACAGACACCCTGTATTCGTGGAGATGAGGAGGGGGGGGAATGAGTAGCTTTCAAACACACAGCCTAGAGATAAGTGGAAATCTCTTCAGATGCTGCTTTGAAGGTATGCCAGCAGACCTTGGGAGCCGTGCCCACTTGCATCCTGGAGCAGTTATTATATCAGCGTCAAGAAAATCTCTTCTTAGTCTGACCAGATACTGAGCAGAGCCATCATGAAGGACTCAGAGTAATGCAAACATTTTGCTAGCCCTGGTTATCTAATCTCTTGTGTGTCTCTGATAATAATCTCTATCAGGATGCATTTAGTGCTTTAACACCAATGTCTTCTGTCTGTTGTGCAATGCAACAAATGATATTTTCAACTCAGGGAGAGTGAGGGAACTAAGGCAGCCCTATTTGCTGTGTCCAAAGGAATCATTCTTTATCTCTTAATTAATTTCTATTATTGAATGTGTTTATTCAACACTTTTCTGTCCACCATGTCTCCCCAAATAAGGTACAACAAAATATATTAAAACATGGTTTAAAAGCAGTTGTTTATTTTATTTATTTATTTAAAGAAGCTTTTTTAATGTTAATTTTGATAACCAGTTTTAAAAAACAAAGGCCAAATGGGACAACACAGTTTGGAAATTCAAAAGGGAAGGAAGCAGCCTGAATTCCCTTGGGTGGGAATTCCACAGAGAAAACCCTGCCTCATGTACTGAAAAAAGTACTGAAAAGTACATTAAAAACAATAAGGAGACAAGCTCAGTGTGCTCTAAGATGGTCAATTGTTTCTTCCTTTTAAAATAGCTCAACACATTTTGGCCTGTATGACAGAAGGTCTTCTTCAGAGGCTGAAAACAAACACAAATATAGATATTAAAAATACAATACTAAATTAACTATATCCCATAAAACCTCATAGGGATACAGTATTTTTCATATCAGAAACATACACATGGAACTTGTCTCCTTACTGTTTTCTGTTTCATGTACTGTCAAATGAACCTTCACAGAGTGGTGGAACATGCAACCAAGCCTCTGCTGAATATTTCAAATTTTGGGCAAGCTCATACAGAAAAAGCTCCTTTCAAATATCTGTTCCAGTTGATTCACACACCATTTCTGGTTTGAATTAATCATAATTTATATTCTGGTTATGGGTTTTTAAAAGTTGTGAATACTCTCCTAGAGTGAACTAAAAGGTAGTGGAACAATAAGTCTAATGTGAAGCCTTAGATTGGGAACATGTTGTCTGGTTTCACATGTAACACAGATACATAGTTTGGATTAACCACAGTTAAGGTTAACAATTTCCTATAAATTAGGATATATATCAGTTCAAAATCCCATAGATGGCATACACCTAGTTCAGTGGCAACTCGTGGCCCCCATGTCAGAGGCAATTAATCCACTCTGAGTTTTAGTGTGAAATGTAAGGGAGTTGTCCAAGGTGCTGAAGTTATGGGGGGGCAAAGTTCAGCTCCTTAGATAGTTTAACTAAACCCAAGTTGCGAGTTACCATTCCACTAATATGGAAGCAACAAGATATCACTGCTCTAAATTCCCTCTTTCTTTAGTTAAGGGACTTCAGGGTCTCAGTGATGCCTTACAATACCTATGAAAAAAAATAAAGTAATTAATAATAAATATTACTATTTATGATTTCTTAAAATATTTATATTCCACCCTAGAATGGTTTACAATAAAACCACTTTAAACAATAATAAAAAAATAATAATTTAAGCATTCTGAAAGCAAAGCAAACAATTGAATAATGTAAAAGGTCAAAACTCATGGAACACAGAGGAGGTTTCCTCCAGCAGACCTGAATCCATGGGCAGGTGTATATAGTGAGAAGCATTCCTTCAACTACATCATCAAAGTCTCAAGCCATTTAGGCTTTTAAATATTAGCAACCTGGATTTAGAAATAAACCAGCAATAAACATATTTCTGAGATGCCTTATCACATTTAGGCAAACTTGATTGGTCTGAATTAGATGTACTCTTTATGCTGTCAAGAGACCTTCCAAGTGAGACTGGGACATAAGCACATTTAGTGTAAAACATTTACTTCGACTGTGTCCCCTCCCTCTGCTTTTTTTTATCCTTCATTTTATTTCTCTGACATTTTAGTGTAGCAACTGTTGTTAAGTAAGTCCTTGTTTTTTTCTTTGGAAGATTTGATGTAATGTGTGCTCTCAGGATGGAATTATTTCATTTCATAAAACCCTTGTCATTTTAAGAGGATTTAGGAAACTAATACAGTGCATGTCAACAAAAAAAGGCATCATGTGCTAACTGGGATAAATTCATGCTCATCTTGCAGCAGAGGGGAATCTGTAAAATCCTGAGCACACATTGCATTCAAGACATTAAAAATGAGATAGTGTCTGAAAGCTAGATAGGCAGGTGTGAAAGAAAAGAGTTTTGCCTCTTGGTCGAATTTTCCAGTCCTTTCTATTCCCCATAAAGATGTAAACATGTGAGAGTTGGAGAGTGAGGAAAGCCAAAAAGAAGAAAATCAGCTCATTTGTGATGTAGTACTGGAGAAGAATGCTGAGGATACCATAGATGGCCAAGAAGACAAACAAATGGATTCTAGAACAGATCAAGCCTGGATTATCTCTGGAAGACAAGATGATGAAACCGAGGCTGTTGTACTTTGGCCCCATCATGAGAAGGCATGAATCACTAGAAAATACAATAATGATAGGAAAGGTAGAAGGTAGCAGAAAGAGAGGAAGACCACATGCCAGATGTCTAGACTCAATCAGGGAGGTCACAGGTCTGCAGGACCTAAGCAGAGCAGTGGGAAATAGTGGGGCTTGGAGATGTCTCATTCACAGGGTTAACATGAACTGGGGTCGATTCAAAGGCAGTTAACAACAACAACAGTGTTCTCAGGTGTGAAAGACTATGCTTTCTTGAAGCAGTGGTGGGAGTCATGTGGCCTCCAGATGTGATTATCCATGCTGTGAGTTGCAGCTGGACTTGATCCCATGTCATGGAAATTTGATGGGTACTTAAATTAATTATATGCTTTTTAAATCAGGAGAGGAAATTGTTTGAGCTTCCAGACCTTGTTGGACTCTGAATCTCAGCAGTCTAGTCAGGATAGCCACTGGTGAGGAATGCTGGAAATTGCAACACAGAAATACCTGGGGAACTACTTATTTCCTACTTTGCCTTGAGGGATGATGCAACCAATACACCTCAGTCTCTGCAGAAGAGAATAATAATCGAATAATCGAATCATAGAAGCACAGAGTTGGAAGAGACCACAAGAGCCATCCAGTCCAAACCTCTGCCATGCAGGAAAACACAACCAAAGCACTTCCAACAGATGGCCATCCAACCTCTCTTTTAAAACCTCCAAAAGAGGAGACTCCACAGAGGCAGCATGTTCCACTGTCAAACAGCTCTTACAGTCAGGATGTTCTTTCTAATGTTTAGGTAGAATCTCTTTTCCTGTAGTGTGAATCCATTGCTCTGGGTCCTAGTCTCTGGAGCTGCAAAAAAAAAGCTTGCTCCATGACACCCTTTCAAATGTTTAAACATGGCTGTCATGTCACTCCTTAACCTTCTCTTCCCCACTATGTGTCTAAATACCAATAGGAAGGGAGCTGATCATGACAATGGAGTTAAGGCTGAATCTCCCATTCTCAAATCACCTTTTTGCATTTTCCCTTTTTTTTTCCCCTGGGTCTTCACATATAGAGTAGAGCATGAGCACATTAGCTGCTCCCCAGTGGCGAGAGTGCTGCCTATGATCCTGAAAACTGCACATACTTACCATGATTGTAGCTTATGTTCAGAACTGTTTTAAAAAGTTTTGTTTTGCTTTGATTCACTTTTTGGGTTTTTGCTTTTTTAACTTCTTAGATTACAATTTAACTTCTTAGATTACAACCGCCTGACAGTAAGGGCGGTTCGACAGTGGAACACACTCCCTCGGAGAGTAGTGGAGTCTCCTTCCTTGGAGGCCTTTAAGCAGAGGCTGGATGGCCATCTGTCAGGGATGTTTTGATTGGGAATTCCTGCATGGCAGGGGGGTTGGACTGGATGGCCCTTGTGGTCTCTTCCAACTCTATGATTCTATGATTCTATGAATTCTAGGAATCCCTCAAGACAACATGGCCATAGAAGATTTTTCCAAGCTTAGTGTATATTGATTCTGTAGTGAAACCCTGTGTGAGCACAGCTGCCACTCTTGCCCTGTTATCATTCCCATTCTCTTCTCCTAGGCCTTACAATGATTACCATGCTTTCTGTGGGAGAACCCAGCACCCACTTGATGGATCCCTCAATAAATTCCTTTCAACCAACTTCCCTGTTCCTTCTGTCTGTATTCCCTAGAACTTATTTATCTCCTTCTTCTCCCTGGCTTCCTTAAGAAGCGCATCCTCTGACAGGATAGTTGGATTCACACTCCCATGTCTCCAAAGTCATAAAAAGTTGTTGGAGTTTAATGCTGAACTCCTGGAGAACTCCTAGAGAAGGGGAGAAGTCTCAGCAGATTGGAGGAGGGCAAATATTGACCCTATCTTCAAAAAGGGGGGGGGGGAAGGACACTCAAACAATTATCACTCGGTTAGCCTGTGATAAAGCCTGTAAAGAGGAACTCAGCTAGTGATGTCTCAATCTCCACTATTTGTTGTTGTGTGCCTTCAAGTTGTTTCTGACTTTTGGTGACCCTAAGGCAATGCTATCATGGGGTTTCCTTTGTAAACAATTATTCAAAGTGGGTTTGCCATTGTCTTCCTCTCATCCTCTGTTTACAAACAAGCAAGTTTGAGGAAGGCTGAGGAGATAAAATTGAGCAGGACTGTAGAAAGAACTATTGTTGTTGTTGTGTTCCTTCAAGCAATTTCTAACTTGTGTCAAATCTAAGGCAACCCTATCATGGGGGTTTCTTAACCAAATTTGTGCAGAGGGCATTTGCCATGGTCTTCCTCTGAGGCTGACTGGGTATAATTTACTCAAGGTCATCCACAGGGTTTCTATAGCCAAGTGGGAATTTGAACCCTGGTCTTTTGGAGTCCTAGTCCAACACGCAGTCCACTATGCCATGCTGGCTCTCACAGAGAAACCTATGAGACTCTTTAAAAATATGTATCTTCTTGATCCATGGGCTGGAGATAATAGTCAAAGTGTTATAGAGGGAACAAGCCAAATGATGCAAGCGCCTAACAGTGGGAGGCAAAAAACCTCACACAGGCAGCAAATGGGGATGGCCCATGCTCTTGGATGTCTCTAAATGCACAAAGCATGGGGAATAAACAAGATGAACTCGAACTCCTAGCACAACAAAGCAAATATGATATAATAGCATCACTGAAACCTGGTGGGATGAGTCTCATGATTGCAATGTAGGAATAGAGGGGTATACCTTTTTTAAAGAGAAGGCCAAACAGGAAAGCAGGAGGAACAGCATTATATATCAGGGATGTTTACACCTGTGAAGAGATCCAGGACTTAAATCCTGGAAACTAGGTGGAGAGCATCTGGATAAACATTAAAGGAAAGGAAATAACAAGGATGTTGTTGTGGGAGTCTACTACAGACCCCAAAGTCAGACTGAGGAATTGGACGATGCCTTTTCCAGAACAGAGGACCACACACTCAGAAAGGAGAGATGTAGTAGTGATGAGTGACTTCAACTATCCTGATATTTTCTGGAACTCAAACTCAGCCAATACTTCAAGGTCTAGCAAATTCCTCACTTGCCTCAAAGGCAATTTCATTGTCCAAAAGGTGGAAGAGGCAACAAGGGGATCAGGTATTTTAGATCTGATCCTAACCAACAGAGATGACCTGGTAAATGGGGTGCAAGTGGTGGGATCCTTAGGTGGAAGTGATCATGTTCTCCTGGAGTTTCTTATACAGTGGAAAGGAGAAGCTAGGCATAGTCAGACATACATTCTAGACTTTAGCAGAGGTGATTTAAATAAACTTAGGGAAACACTGGAAGTGATCCTGTGGTTGGAAATACTAAAGAAGGGAGTTCAGGATGGATGGGAGTTTCTCAAAAGGGA